TTCTTTCTTTCTTTCTTTCTTTCTTTCTTTCTTTCTTTCTTTCTTCCTTCTTTCCCTTCCTTCCTTCTTTCCTTCCTCCCTTCCTCTCCTCTGTCCCCCCTTTTTCCTTCCTTCCTTCTTTCCTTCCTTCCTCCCTTCCATCCTCCCTCCTTCCCTCTCTCCCTCTCTCCCTCCCTCCCCCCTCTCTCTCTACCACTCAAGCCACAGCTCCACTTTTGCCTTTTTGTTGGGTAATTGGAGGTAAGACTCTCATGGACTTTCTTGCTTCGGCTGGTTTTGAACCATGATTCTGAGATGTCAGCCTCCTGAGTAGCTAGGATTACAGGTGTGAGCCACCAGCACTTGGCTTTTTTTTTTTAAAGCTCTTTTAGGAATATCTGGCTTCAAGCCTTCATCTCTAACCAAGCATACATGGGCTTTTGTGTCCTGAGAGTCCTTTGGGCAGTACAAGCCAGGTGCTTTCCCTCTACCTTCTCCATTCTGGCCCTGTCTCAGGTGACAGACATGGACTGTTTTATTCTTGGTGTGTCGATGTGGATTTGAAGCTTGGGCTCACAGGCTCAGCTAGCCTTTGGGGATTCAGCTCTCATGGCACATGCTTAGGATGGTGTGGGGTCATGCTGATGGGTTGGGCTATCACCTTGGCACTTCCCTCATGCTACCTTGTCTCTTGTAGGAGATTGCTCAGATGCAGTCCCACATCAGTGACACATCCGTCATCCTGTCCATGGACAATAACCGGAACCTGGACCTGGACAGCATCATCACCGAGGTCCGTACCCAGTATGAGGACATTGCCCTGAAGAGCAAGGCTGAGGCAGAGACGCTGTACCAGACCAAGGTGAGGCTGCACAGCTGCCTTAGTCATGTGGGCAGGGACTATGGTCCCATATTTGTTTAGTCTGTTGTGACCCACCGTGGCCCACAGTTTGTTGGGAACCCAGCACTGTCCTGGGCACTAAGGGAAGCTCGAAAGAGGAAGACACAGCTTTGACCTTAGTCCTTCTGTGGTGGACATTGGAGGGTACACAATGCTGGGTGCAAATGAATGTGGTGTAAACAGAGTCCAGAGTTGGGACCTGGATCAAGGGGAGTAGGTAAGTACTGATTTCCTAGAGACTGAGTTTGAGGGAGGGGAAATATGAATAGTTAGCACCTCATCTGTCTCATTCAGTAGAATAAATTAGGGCTCTGCTCAGTGTGCTTTGATATCAGGGAATTCCTATCTTTTCACTCAAGTCTAACCCCAAGGACAAAGAGGGTGTTCAAGTCCCTTAGATCTTAGATCCTCTAATGGGTGTGGGTAGGAGGTGACTCTTCAGGTAATTTGGTTTCTTAGATCAAGATGGAAACTTTTTAATTGTTCCTTGCTCTTATCAGGCTCTTTCCCTAGGGAAATCACTCCTGGGAGACTTTATCTCTTCCTCCACTTCTCCTTGTCAAGCTGGGATGGGGAAGTTTGGCCTTTGGGGAGAGGAGAGAGGTCTCAGGGACTAGGAGACAATATAGACTTGAGGGATGGACTCCAGACCCTTGTTCATTATTGTCATGAGCTAGGACTGGGAATGAACATGTGGCCTAGCCCCAGGTGGTCACCCCCACAATCTTTCCAGAAGAAAGGTCTGCATAGACATGACTCATGGGCCACTGGCTATTTGGGGTTATCTGTATGGACCTCTGCTTCTCTAGTGAGGGGTGGGTATTCACTAAGCAAAATGTCTAACTACATATGAAAGCTTCCATTTTTCATAATTTTCCATTTAAAGAAACAGCCAAGGGCCTTTAGTGATGGAGCTGGATCTAAGTCTTAGGGGACTGACTGCTAACTCCATGGTGTTTAGGCAGGAGATTAGGACCTAGTGTCAGGGGACAGGGCAGCATATTATCTATCTCCTGCTTACTGAAGGTCATTCTTATTGTGTGTTCCCATTAAGCCATGTTCTCTCTGTGGCTTATTCAATGGCAACATCAAAGGCAGGAAGAATCCAAAAGTAGTAAACGACCCAAGATTCATGGCTAGTTGTACTGGCTCCCACCATACAAAATATGCCTCTGGGCCAAGCCCTCCCAACCCCCAGCCCAGCCCAGGCCTATAGCCTAGGATCCACTTAAGCTAGCAAGGAGAACATACAAATGGACAGCTAATTGACTCCCTTTTCTGTTCACTTGCTCATTCCCTCATTTACTTGTTCATTCATTAGACATATTGAGCACCAACAAGGCACTATGCCAGATCCTGGGAATTCTGAAATAAAAGAAAAGATCAGACACCCATTCATTCTGAGTGTGATGGGGAAAGTACAGAAGGGTGACATCATGATACAGTGTGGTCTCATTGCGTTATGGACTGGTGTATCCAGGGTATCAGAAACTGAATTGCTTCCAAGCATGAGATCAGAAAAGGCCTGAGGAAGTGGCTATGCCATGACAGAGTGGGAGCTAGCTAGAGAAAAGGGAGAGGGAAGAGGCGTCCAGGTAGAGGAGGAGGCTTTTGCACACTCAAGAGATATGAGTGGGACATATTTGGTGAAGCTGGGAGCCAGATAGATGATGGGCAGGGGCAATGAGAAAGGATTCGGTAGGAGTTTGACCTTGACCTTGAAGAACTACAGGGAAAGGAGGGCTGCCCCTGCAGATGGGTATTAATAAAGATTCAGTGTGGAGAGTACAGGACCTCTAATAGTTCTTTTGGACAAATCAAACTGAGGAGATGGTTAAGCTTAACGCAAATAACTTCAGTGACAAGTGGTTTGAAATGGAGGCTTCTGATAGCTTAGTGAGGATGGGGACTGCTTCTGACCTCTGCCAAGCTCTCCAGGCATGGTGTCTGTGCCAGGCCGGGTTCACCTAGCTCTAAGTCACTCTCTGCTTTGGCTCCGCCCCCTTCTCTCTCCCCCACCTCCCACCCCAGTTCCAGGAGCTGCAGCTGGCAGCTGGCCGGCATGGGGATGACCTCAAACACACTAGGAATGAGATCTCGGAGCTGAGTCGGCTCATCCAGAGGCTGCGCTCGGAGATTGAGAGCGTGAAGAAACAGGTGAGGGACGTTGTTCCCGTATCTCTCCTAAGGGAGGGGTGGGCTGCTCAGCAACCCTCTGTGCCAGCTCCCTCTCTTTGTTCCTCATCTCAGAACCCCTTTCACCTGTCTTTTACTCTCACTTGTAGTAGGATTTGATTATAGGGTCTTTTAAAAAAGCCACAGGGTTCAGAATGATATGCCTCCCAGGAGTTTCCCTTGTCCCACATGTGGCTGGGTTTCTGCTTTAGAAAGTAAGGCAGGAGGGAGGAGGGTCCAGTCATCTAGTGTACATGGAGCAAGCGAGGTCCAGGCACTGGAGAGCCCAGGGGATGATGAACCCTCCCTGCTCCACAGTGCTCCAACCTGGAGACAGCCATCGCGGATGCGGAGCAGCGGGGTGACTGTGCCCTCAAAGATGCCCGGGCCAAGCTGGATGAGCTGGAAAACCGCCTCCAGCAGAGCAAGGAGGAACTGGCCCGAATGCTGCGTGAGCACCAGGAGCTCATGAGTGTGAAGCTGGCCCTGGACATCGAGATCGCCACCTACCGCAAGCTGCTGGAGGGCGAGGAGTGCAGGCGAGTGGGTGGAGGGGCTGAGGGAGCCATTGTCATCTTCCCCTTTGCCTCAGTTTCCCAGCATGCATGGTGCAGACAGCTGGGAGGGCTGAGGATGCTTTTCAGTTTGCCCACATACATAGCCTGGAACAGCATCCAGTCAGGTAATGTGACAGCAACGTCCTTTAGAGCGCAGAGGGAGTCTCAGCAAGCAGCAGGCAACTTGCAAATGTCTCCCATTAATAAAGAGACAGTGGGATCCCAAGCCCAGAGTCTCTCAGAAGACTGTAATAGCAGTTCCTCCCCAGATTAAATTATTTCATTTTCATTTTTTGTAGTGCTACCTCTTCCCCTTACTTCGTTAAGTATGTTAGCTTTCCTACTTATCCACGATGATATACAAGTTTAAAATATAATTTTATTGTTATTATTAAGGTGTTGTATAGAGGGGTTGCCATTTTCATAAGTCAGGTAACGAATACAATTCTTTTTAGACAATGCCACCCCTTCATTTACTCTTCTTCACAACTTCCTTGTAAGAAAAATATACTTAGCTTATAAAAGGTCAGATTAGTTCAAAATACCCATATATAGTATATCAAATGTAATATTTTATATGTTATATAGGATATATGATATATAACTATCATTATATATAATTTATAATTTATTTTTATAACTTATTATTATTGTTATTATTGTCATACTAGGCTTTGGACTCAGAGCTGCATGCTTGCTAGGCAGGGACTCTATTACTTGAGCCATACGCAGTCTCCAAAATACTAAATCTTGGACAATGTAAGGTGCTTGTGGCAATAGTTGGAAGGCTAGCACACAAGGACTGAACACACAAAACCCACAGCACAGAGTGGAGAATTTCAGAAAGCTGTTGAGCTAGCTCCTTAGTAGCAACTCTGATCCTAATATTTCCATTCATCTATTTATTCAAGCAGTAGCCTCTCAGCAGTAAAGCAATGGGCTCATGAGAAATCCATTGGAATGGTGTTGGTGTAGGGACCCCCAGGTTCCCCAGTCCTACATCTCTTTTTTAAAAAAAATTGATACTTTTTTATTGTGAAAATACTGTACAGAGGGGTTAATGTTATATGAACAAGGTAATGAGTACATTTCTTATCAAGCATTGTTGCCTCCTCCAGTGTTTTTCTCCTACCATCCTTTCCCTCCCACCTCCACAACTACACTCCCACTTGATCCTTCCTAAATTATAAAGTTCATTTTTCAACATAGTGTCTTATACATCTCATTGTTACAATAGGTCCACCTGTATCCCTATTTAAACATTTTGTTTTATCCCTTCCCCTCCCAAATTATACTGACATCAAATACAGTGAAAACAAAACGTGGTACATATATAAACAATGGAATTCTATGCCTCCATTAGAAGAATGACATCGCCCCATTTGTTAGGAAATGGAAAGACTTGGAAAAATTATATTAAGTGAAGTAAGCCAGGCCCAAAGAATCATAGGTCTCATGGTTTCCCTTATTTGCAATAACTAGTATATGTCTGGGACAAGTAGAAAAGGTCAAAAGCTATTCATATATGACCAGATAAGATGAAATTAAGTGAAATGAACCCCAAGATTGGGACGCAAGTGGTTTTTTCTTTCTTGCTATTGTTTCTAACGTATTTATAAGATACCATGTTGTTTTTGTTGCTTTGTATGTTCCTCCCCTACGGTATAACCCCAGTCCTCACATCTCTGAAGTGGAAAATGGGTGAGGGAAGAAGAGAGTGGGGAGAGTTAATATTTCTGGCGCCCAGGTCCTCAAGGCCTATGTAGATATGGCAGATGAAGTCTGGGATTCATGTAATGAGGATCTTCTCTGTTTTCTCTCTGTGTGCAGGATGTCTGGAGAATATACCAACTCTGTGAGCATTTGTGAGTATTTCACATCTGTAGGGGAATATGTTTAGGCAATCAACAAACATGAAGTGAATTAATGTTAATTATCAGGACCACCGTGGCACAGCCTGAGCTCTGTTCTCTGTCCCACCTCCAACTGCCATTTGGAATTGCTTCTTTCCTAGCAGAGCCAGCTCCCAGCTACAGGGTAGTACAGCACATTTCCTGCCCTGCCTACCTCAGCTTTCCTCCTGGAGGAAACAGTGAGTCCAGAGAACCAGCTGCCCCCTCCCGCAGTGGAGACTTATGGAAAGGAAGACACTGTGCAAATCAGTTGTAATCTGCCCCTGTCCTGTTCAGCCCTGTCTCCTCCTAAGCTAGGGTCCAGTCCTGATTCCTTAATTTAAGCCATTAGGAAGTTCACTTAAAGAAGCAACTTAGCAATGTATTCTAAGGTTAAGTGCCAGAACTTGGCTTATTGGCTATCTCTGTCCTTTGAAAAAAAGTCCCTGCTACTCTTGTTCACTTCAAGGACAAGCAAGGGGCCAGGCACTGGTAGCTTATGCCTGTAATCCTAGCTACTTAGGAGGCTGAGATCTCAGGATCACCATTTGATGCCAGCCTGGGGAAGAAATATCTATGAGACTTTTGCCTTCAATTAACCAGTAAAAGGCTGGAAGTGGATCTGTGGCTCAAGTGGTAGAGTGCAAGCCTTGAGTGAAAAAGCTAAGGCACAGTGCTGGGTCCCAGAGGTCAAGCTCCAGAAGTAGAGGGGAAAAAAAGAATGAGCAGGGAACCATGTGGCATCTGACTGTTTGTCCTGGAGTTTGAATGGCTTGGGAATTGAATATACATCATTAAACCCAAGTTCACGGTCAGTGGAAGAGTTTTCTTAGGAGGGAGATATTTGAACTAGTTGGGGTCAAGGTTGGAGGGAACTTGGGGCCTCCCTTAACTTGAGAGACACACTGATTCCTCCCCTTTCCCTTCTTCACAGCAGTCATCAGCAGCTCCACAGCTGGGACAGCAGGGGCAGGAACCAGCTTTGGGTTCAATGGTACTGGCACCTATGGCTACCGGTCCAGCTCTGTTGGTGGGGGCTATAGCATGCTCTCTGGGGGCTGTGTCACTGGCACTGGGAACTGCAGCTCCCGTGGGGAGCCCAAGACTAGGCTTGGAAGTGCAAGCGAATTCAAGGATGCTCCAGGGAAGAACTTGGTCCTGGGCTCACCTACCAAGAAAGCCACAAGATAGAGTGACAGCCTCATTCTCCTGCATCTACTCTGCCTGGATTTCTTCTCTAGGAACTTCATTTGTCCCATTTGCCATCCTGTCCTTCCTTTCATTGGCTCCAATATTGCTTCCTCCTCTTTGGCCTCTCATCTTAGTCTTCCTTAATTACAATCCAGGATTCTAGGAGTGGAGTCATCTTGCCACTCTTCTATCACGAATACAGAGACCTCTTAACCCAACCTCCCCTTCCTGGTGAGGAGCCGGGCCTTTCTCTGACTGCATGTCCTCTTGCAGGGGAAGGTTTGCTCTAAGATGAGCCCAATCAATCCTGCTGCTACCCTTCACACCCTGGCTGGGTGCTCCTTGGGTATACAAGGCTTCAGATGCATTGATGAATAACCCTGTAAGAATTGTGTTCTCTTAGGCCAGCACCAACTCAGACCAAGCACCTGATTGCAGAATATGTCTGGCAGGATCACCGTCCATCACAGGGCTGGTCGTACCTCTCTAGGCTGGGCCAACCAGTCATGGGGATTGTACTCTCCATCTCTGAGCTGTAGGCCTTGTTTTGGCCTCACCTTCCTGTTTCTGTGTCCCATCAATAAACTTATAAAACTCATACAGAGTCAGGTTGCCTCTCTCTCTCTCCTAAGGAAATCCTCATCTCAGGCCATGTCTCTTCTGCATGTACAGTGGTCATTAAATGGGACATTGGGACATCTAAGGTCCCACTGCCCCAGAGTTCCAATATATCTTGATCTTGCATTGGATGGAGGATCCTGACACCTAGGGTTCATCTTCCCTGACTCCCTAGCAAATGCTCCTTCTAAGTCATGCATTTCTCACAACCATGGTCCAGTGGATATGAAATCTTTAAGAACACCCAGGTTATCAGTAGGAAGAAGGAGCCAGCACTTATCTAGTGGCAAGATTTAAGATTTGTCAGGAGGCAGCAGAAAGCCAATTCTAGGATGGCTAGGAGTTAATACTTTCCCTGTTACCTAAAAAAAGGCCCCAAAATGTTAAAGTACTGGTGGCTCATGCCTGTGATCCTAGTTACTCAGGAGGCTGAGATCCTAGCATCACAGTCCAAATCCAACCCAGGCTGAAAAGTTCAGGAGGCTCTTATCTCCAATTAACCAGCAAAAAGCCAGAAGTGAAAATATGGCTCAATGGTAGAGTACTATCCTTGAGTGAAAAACCCAAGGGAGAGTGCAAGGCCCTGAGTTCAAGCCCCAGTACCAACACAAAATGAAGGAAGAAAGAAAGGAGGAAAGGAAGAAAGGAAGAAAGAAAGAAAGAAAGAGAAAGAAAGAAAGAAAAGAAAGAAAGAAAACATAGGTTTCACCTTAACTAATAACCTGATCCAAGTAAGTAATGACCTGATCTATAACACTGGGTATACAGGAATGGAGAAAATGATCTCTATTCCTCAGGGAGATAGGTCATAAACAAAGATAATGCAAGCTGGGCACCAATGGCTCACACCTGTAATCCTAGCTACTCAAGAGGCTGAGATCTGAGGATCGTGGTTCCAAGCCAGCCAAGGCAGGAAAGTTCATGAGACTCTTAACTCTAATAAAACCACAGAAAACTGTGCTGTGACTCAAGTGGTAGAGCTGAAGGGCTGAGGGACAGCGCCCACACCCAGAGTACAAGCCCCTTGACCGACCAAAAAAAGAAAAAGATAATGCAATATGAGTGAGATAAAAACCAAGGAAGATCCAGGGGTAGTCCAGGGGAGAGTAAAGGAACCTCATGGAGGGCTGGGCAGACTGTCAGCTGAGGTAACATGTGTAGAGGTTTCAGAGACCAGGAGGGAGCTCATAGGGGTACAAAAGGAAAACATGGGTTTTGGAGCCAGAGTACTTGCATGGCAAAAATTAGTTATTGTTATCCTGGTACTGGTGGCTCATGTTTGTAATCTGAGCTACTCAGGAGGCTTAGAACCGAGGATTTTGGGTTGAAGCTAGCCTTCAGGGCAGGAAAGTCTATGAGACTCTTATTGCCAATTAACTAGTGTTAAAAAGCCAGAAGTAGGTATATGGCTCAAGTGGTAGAATGCCTGGAGCTTTTTGGAAAACCCAAACGAGAGCCAAAGACCCAGAGAGTTCAAGTCCCAGTATTGACACAAGAATATAAATTGGTTATTGTTGCTGGAATATGAAGAATGAAACTGGAGGAGCTCAGCAGCCCTGGAGGGAATCAAAGGCCCCTATATGAAGAGGCAGCAGCAGAAAAGGATCAGAGAGGCCTGTTCTTGTCAGTGAAGAGCTGAGATTTTATCCTGAGGAGTGTAAGGAAGAATTAACCACTTTGTCACGAGACCTGGAACCAGGACGACTGTCTGTCCCTGACTGTATGACTTAGGATGCTTCTGTTTTATAGGCCTTGGTTTCCTTGTCAGTAGAAGTGGTTCATAACAGCTGTTATCCCATAAAGTTGCCATGAGAATGGAATTTAATGAAATAATGTTTGAGAATGATTTAATGCCAAGCACTTAGTACGTACCCATACATAGTTGTTTTTAGTCTTATGAGATGTAGACTGTTCTTTCAAGAAGCTTAGGAGAAAAGAGGAGCAGAGAAGATTCGATAGAGATCAGAAAGTGCATTTCTGATGACGTATGTAAACTTCATTAAGAGCATTGGCAGATAGGAGGTATTTCTGCCATCCAACTCCTATGCTTGGATTCTGACAATTCAGCCCGACAGGCTCAATGGGCAAACTATGAAATCTGAGTACCTGCACACAACAGAAAGTAATTTTGAATTCCCAAATCCAGGGCAGGTTAAGGAAGCTATTCTCATGGCCTTCCCTAATGGACATCCTGGGAAGACTTCTGTTGTGTGGTCCTGTTACATGCAACATGTGGCCTCCAGCATCACCGAGGCAGGGGGAAGGAAGATGGCAGTGCACTTTGGAGGTTAATTGCTCCAACTCCACTCACATGTCAATGGCCAACACAAGTCACATGTTTCCAATGAAGGCTGTGACAGGAGGAAATATATGGATATTTGACACACGCTCAGCAGACTTTGGCACAAGCTTCCTGTGTGCACGCTAATGCTAGTCCAAGGCTGAGAGAGCTTCCACCTTTGGCCAGTGCTGGGAAGATGCTACGTGTATTCTCTAGAGTCCATTCAGACTCCTTTGGATTCTGACAGTGTAACCCTGGCCATAGCAATTGGGCTGCATGTGATATTTTAGGTCTCCTTGGTGTTTTTATGAGATGTTGTAAGTCTGCTTCCATTTGAGGAATTTATGTCCAAGAAACGGTGAATTTTGCTCAGGGTTTTGTAAAGGATGTTTCTTAAAACTTTTGTTCTTCTAAGATTTTTGGCTAACGAGATAGAGCTGTAGTTAAGAGAGTGTTTTTAAGATACCATTAACAAACTGGGTGCGGGTGGCTCACACCTGTAATCCTAGCTACTCAGGAGGCTGAGATCTGATAATCATGGTTTGAAGCCCACCTGGGCAGGAAAGCTCATAAGACTCCTTTCCCTAGTTAATTGCCCCCCAATCCACAAGTAGATCTGTAACTCAAGCACTAAGCTTGAGCAAAAAAAGCTCAGGAACAGCATCCAGTCCCTGCGTTCAAGCACCAGAACCAGAAAAAATAAAACCAAAATTACTGTTAATAAAAAAGAATCCTGTATTAGAAAATTTGGTATTAGAATTAGCTTTCATTTTCTTTGCTTTCTGGTTTTATTTAAAGTAAGTTCCTTAGGGCTGAGAAGGTGGCTCAGTGGTAGAACTCTTACCTTTCATGCCTGAGGCCCTGGGTTCGATTCCTCAGTACCACATAAGCAAAAAGAAAAAAGCCGGAAGCAGCTCTGTGGCTCAAGTGGTAGAGCACTAGCTAGCCTTGAGCTGAAGAGCTGAGGGACAGTGCCCCGGCCCAGAGTTCAGGCCCCATGATCGGACCCTCCCAAAACCTGCCCCCCCAAAATAAAGTAAGTTCCTTTATTAAAAAAATTAAACTCATATTAAAAAAATCAGAAATACTAAATAGTAGACCAAACCCCATCAATCAATCTCTTAGTCACTGTTGTGGAAAAGACATTTTCTATTACTCCTCGAAAAGTACCATGTATCTTTCATTGTTGTTGACATAGTTTAGGACTATACATTCATCACTTATTCATGTATTCACTAGATTGACTTTTAGGCACTGTCCCTGAGCGTATGTACTCAAAGGGAGTGCTCTACCACTTGAGTCACAGCTTCACTTATGGCTTTTTGTGGTGATGAATTGGAAATAAAAGTCTCATGGGCTTTCCTGCTGGGGCTGGTTTTGACCCACTATCCTCAGATCTCAGCCTCTTAAGTAGATATGATTACAGGTGTGAGTCACTGGCACCTGGCTAAATCGACTTTTTCAAGAAAACTTCAAGGTTCACAGTAAAGTTGGAGTGGCAAGTATAGAAATGTCCCGTGGGTCCCTCCCTCCACGCACAGTGTTCTCATTGTAAACATCCAGCAGACTGAAACATTTGTTATTACTAGTGAATGGACATCATTGAGGTTAGGATGATGGTGAACAGGTTTTGTGAGGTGTGTGTGTGTGTGTGTGTGTGTGTGTGTGTGTGTATTGGTATTGGGGCTTGAACTCAGGGCTTCATGATCTCCTTTGGCTTTTTCATTAAGGCTGATACTCTACTATTTGAGCCATATACTCATTTCTGGCTTTTTACTGCTTCATTGGAAATAAGGGTCTCACAGACTTTTCTGCTCAGGCTGGCCTTGAATTGAAATCCCCAGATCTCAGCCTCTGGAGTAGCTAGCATTAGCATTACAGGCATATGCCATTAGTGCCTGGCCATAGTTGACATTCGTAGTGCTAGGCATTCTGTGGGTAGGAACAAATGTATAAATGACACATGTCTACCATTATTCTGTCTTACAGAGTAAAATTTTTCATATAAAGATTTTTCACTTGCTGTAAAATCCTCCAGCACTAAGCATATTAATGAATCTAGAAACAATAAGGCATTTGCCTAACATTCTTTTTGTTTTAA